ACTTTGCGTAATTAAACAATAACATTTTTTTTATTAATACTTTTTTTTTGTCGTAAATTCGTAATTGCAAGACTTTAAGATATTGCTTTTTTTTTCTTATTGTATTCCATCATCGACTATGAATGCTTTAAGTTTGATAAATCATTTTGATGAAAAATAGCAAGAAGATAAAAAAATTTCTATCTAGGATAATACTGATTGGCTCATGACTTTGGAAAAAAACAAAAGAATTTTCTGAAAGTTTTTCGATGAATTTATTCCATCGTGTAATTAACGGTTTTTATATACATGCTAATTTCAAGACAAAAAATTATTTTTTTTGCAACAAAAACAATGGTTATGAATATTTTTGATCACCAAATTTATTATTAGTACAATCAAAGATAGTATAAGAAATAACAGTCATACTTTTATTAGACCAAAAAAAATTATACGACACAGAATATATAGTAGAAACAGAGAGGGTATGAATGTGGATGTAGGTAGATGAAGAGAAGATTTGTGCCTGCACGCACACCTGTGCCGTGTTTAAACGATTTACTTTTCGTTGATTACATAAAAAATATATTCGCTTTAGTTTTTTTCTTATGTCAGAGTTTATCTTGGATCGTCGCATCAACAACGATCAGATCCAGGCCCGCAATACTCATTTACTCATTTCTCATTTTCCAAATAATCAATGGGCAGTAAATCATGCACACGTCGTATCCACATCCACATCCCTCTTTATACATATCCTGAGTTAATAGGATCATTTGAATTAGATGAGATTGTAATTATTATTTAACTTTATCCTATCGATCAGTTAGCTTTTGAGATAACGGTATTATCCGCCACAAATGCATCATCTATTCGTAGTAAACACTAACTCTCTTTCATCTATTTCGCACTAATATGTTTAGTGATCAAAAGACAATGTTATTCCTAAAACAAAACTTATTACGTGAAAATCATCATTCAGTCACGTATTTTTGTTGTTTACATAATGCATAGAAAGAAAAACTAATAAGAGAGAGTAATGAAGGAAGTATCTTGTAATATACATTTTTTAAATTGAAAAACGTTCCACATTTTTATGTGTTAAGACTTAGTCTTGAATGGTTTTTTTTTTGAGAATATATAACATCTAATTACACATATCTCGAGAAAACGAAACAAAAACAAACGCGTTTTTCATAAATGTATGAATAGGCAATGTGATCTAATGTTATCAAGACAGATCGTAACAAAATGATATCCAAAATATTAAAAACACTCATTTATGCTTAGAGTCCAAATGCGTGTCTAGGTGTCGAATATTTCTCGAGATTTAATCGTATGAAAAAGTGCATTTTCAAAACTTCGATATTAAAAAAAAACTTTTCAGGACTTTATATTGTAGTTTCAAATTAAAGTTTCGATAATAGATATCAATTAGTGAAAACTGACGGAGATTTCAATATGACAAATAGAATAAAATATCTAATCGATATTTATATAAGTAAAATTCATGATCCTATATAAAAATATATAGAATGTCTCAAAACTTGCACTCTTTAAGTAAATTCGTATAACTTTTTGCGTAATTAATTTTAATCAGTCAATTTATTATTTGTTTTTCTATATGATAAAATATTAGCGAAAACAGACTAAATGTTGTCGAATAATTGTATTTTTCAACATTAAAGTTTTAACCAATAATTGTAATGCCTATGTGTATGGTAAATTAACAAAAGATAATATTCTAGGAAAGTTCATGAAAATTCAACGCATTTAGTATATCTTCTTGAAAATATGATATCTATAAAAAAAAATAAAGAATATTTTTGATTTTCTAATTAGAAAATGATCAACATAGTCATTTCATAGAAAACAGAAAATCTTTTAGCATTCTGATTTTAAAAGAAATATCTTGATTTTTTTTCCCACAATTAATTGATCTATAATTTTGATATTAGCTAGAGACTAAAATACATAATACATATACGAAATTAACATTCGTGAATAAACAACATAGATCATAATAGCATTTTTAACTCACGATGACAATTCTTTTTCTACAAGCATAACTATTTATGATACAGTGAGACACATAGGTCCATAAGAAATCAAATTCATCCTGTTTTACTTTTATGCCGACACATATTTTAAAATTGTGAGAAAGAACATTGGAGTCCTTTTAGTTCTTGTAGTCTTTTGAGCATACGGATGTAAGTCTGAGTACTCGTGTTCTCTTAACTCTCATCTACTACCTACACTCATGCCCTCAAGAATCTAAAAGATGAAAAATATGAAAGTCATAGTAGCTTGAAAAGCATAGAAGTAAAACGGGATCAGTTTGTTTTTTCGTGAATCCCTTCCTGCGAGGTTAATAAATCAAAAGAATTTCATGTCTTTCATGAGTTTTATATCAACTACACGAAGAAAAAATGACATGTTGGATGACGGAAATGAGATAGAAATTATTTGTTTCAATTTCATTGATTCAAATGGACATTTTAATCAAGTAAATATAATGAATTAAATTCTTTATCAAAACCATAGAACTAAATTGATGAAACTGTTCGTTGTAATCAATGAAATTGAAATACATCAATTTCATCATTTTAATGTGGTTTTCTTTTCATGTTTTGTGTCCTTGGAATTCATCATTCAAATAATCAGTCACGATAATTGGGTTAGTATGACATATTTTTCCGTAAATTCAAACTTCATCTAGCTATATTAATATTGTAATTTTTCTATATTGTAATTTTCTATAACATAGAGTTTATTTCATAATGCGCAGTGCAAGATAAATTATATTGCTTAATTTTTTAATGTTTCTCTTCTATTCTTCACTTGATTCGCACAAATTTTCTATAAAACTATTGTTGATGGATTATAGTAAATCTTTATTTATTTGAATGAAGTAGTTCCATTGCAAACAGCTTTAGTCTGAATAAAAATTGATCAACAATACTAGTTCTATCAATTTGTCACATTCTCTCAAATAGGAAAATTACTTGTCAAAACAAGCAATGAACAGCTGACATTATATGAAAATATTGAGTATTTACTCAAGGAGAAAATTATGTACTTCAGAAATACATAAGTACGCTTTTTCCCTTGGTTCGAACATATGGTTAAATGATTTTTTTTCTTTTTGAAATCAAAAATATTCGCACATTTTATGCTTCTGAACAAGCCCAAGTTCTGAAATATAAGTTACAATTTTTTAATCGACATCCAGAAAGAAATAACTGTTTGATTTTTGGAAGAGTCATCTGAAATCTTTCACCACTTTTGAGTTCATATGTTAGTCATATAGAGAAAATCTATAGACTAGAATTATTACAAGCAGTTCGGTTTCACAGTAGTGTCAGAAAGTTTCAACAAAAGGTTTTCAATCTGAAGTCATGCGCATTAGTAAATCTCATAATCTTGAGAATATTCTGAAAGTTTCAGTCAAAACAATCCATCTCTTGAAATATTCAACACTCTAAAAATCATAATTTTTTGTGACTAATTCTAAAATCTTATCAATTTGTGAACGTTGAATATTTTTACAAAAACGCGATGTTATTCTACTATAAAGATTTCATCTAAATGATTAAAAAAAATGAGCATAAAAGTGATGAATTACTTTGAGCATAATCCAATATATTTTAATATTTTAGTCGAACAAGTACACAATCCATTCAAACTTCTTTGCTCCTAATCATTGAAGAATAAAAAATAAACAGAAGTCCAAGTCCTATTTTCTAAAATAACAAAAAATAGAACCAATACAAAATGATCAATCTAGTTTTCCTATTGAAAGAGCTCATATTCGTATAATAAATGGATCAAATGATAATAAAAAACAATCATCTTCTGGTAAAAAAATTTCCAAGTCAAATAATCAAGTTGATGAAAATTCAACGATAAAACCTATACGAATGAGTACGCGTAAGAATTCAATAAAAACTGAAATAATTACAGAAATGAACCCATCTTTTGAAACAAAACCAATTATTTTATCTTCAAATGAAATTTCAAAAGAATGGTTAACACATAATGTTTTTTATCGTTGTCATGCTTGTTCACATGAAGAATTTTTTGTTGTTTTATCACGTGAATGTATTAATTTACATGTATCATCAAAACATGTCAATATGGAAGAAAATTTTAAACAACGCTTATCAAATTTTCTTAATAATAGAGGACGTTCGCTAAAAATTTTTCAACATTATTTAAAATGGCAACAACCATGATCAGAAAAACAAATCGAACAAATGATAAAAAAGAAATATTTTCTTTTTTGTAAAACAATATAGAAATCATTTGATCCTTTCTTTTACTTGATGTTTATATTTGTCATAGTTTTAAACTCTATTATATTAGTGCAATTTTTCTCATTCCTATTTTTGTTCTTTTTTTGTTTTCCCAAAACAGTTTTGCCTATATCTCGTATGTCTCACTTTATGTTTATTATTTAAAATAAAATTATAACTCTCTCCGTTACAAAAAAATTAGCGTAAAGAATCATTGATATCCTAAATTGAAAATGATCTATAAGGCCTGACTTAGAAATGTGTAGAATTGTGATTTCGATATTGATCAAGAAGTTTTTTTATGGTCATCTTGACAATCATGGAAACCTTCGTTTGTTTGAAATTTATTTGAATTGAACCAAGAATGAAAATTACACTTTGATGTAAGTTGTTTGCTTTCATATTATTGTAAAACATGCAGTAAATGGATTGTGTGCATTGATTTTTGAGATTCATTGAAACTCTTGGATTTATCGTTGGAGAGTAAGTAATCAACTTCCATAGAATCGAAATTTCTTATCGTTTGTCTAAAGATTCTTTTTTTTTTGATGATGCTTTTTCCCCATTGTTTTTCATCAGCTTCAGGAAAATAAGAAAACCTTCAATGAAAATCCTATCACAAACAATGGAAACATAGTATTAGACAATGATCATATCCTCGGATCATAAAAGATCATTTTGCTCTCATGTTACCAATTTTTAAGCTTTTTCAATCCTCTGTTCTTCAAACACTATTACAAATTGACATTGATTGACGCTTACTCTTTACTTGCATCATCATTAGAATAAATGTTCTGAAATCAATCAAAATTTTATCAATTTTCGGAACCTTAAATATTGGAATCTCAAATTGGTTTTTTGAGAGTTCCATTCGAAAAGAAACGATACCTTAGATAGTGGTAGATACCGTTTTGAAAAATCACGATTTTTCATAGAAATCCAAAAAGAATTAGCAAAAGATCTCTTTCTCTGTGATTTTGTCACGACATAATTTCACAATAAGATTGTCGAGGGTGTGTAGATGTGAGCCTTTGCTTCAAACATACATCCATATCCATGCTTCATAATTCTTATAATATAGTATTATGATTATTATATATAATATCCGGAAAATCTAATAACAAGAAATTCTAAAGGATCAAATCAATGAGTAAAAAATAGTATGACATTGGCCTAAGTTTAGGGCGAAGCAATCTTTTCTAGGCTAGCTACGATTATTATTTTCGTCTCGATTCCAACAAATTCTAAGCTTAGTTGTTAGTGACAAATTTCAACTTCCAATTGACTGTAATTCGAAATATTGGACTACGGCTAATGGAGAATGTTTCACTGAGCGATACACATTCGAAACGTCTTGCTAGCACAATATCATGTTCACGAAACCATCTGTGGCCTCAACATAGGCTTCGATGTAAATCGTCAAAGGGTCACACTAGAAATCAAAACTTGATTTTAATTTTGACCTTGGTCTCATTCATGTCTATTGTAATTCAAGACGAGCAGTAGTTTAGAAGACGACTTTCCCACAAATATACAAATGCAATCGAATTAATTACTATTTCTGAGCTGAATTTCGAAGTGATTTTTAATTATATTTTAACATTTCTTGGGAATATTTACCAAGTTGAACTGGAAAAAACCAATTTTTTAATGTTGTTGGTATGCTTTTCTTGGTGCACACACTGCAGGACAGCCGATGGATGGAGTAAATAAAAATAAATGTGAGCATCTCGTAGCAATGTGTATTCGCTGATTGCTTTTTATCGCGTTCTTCGAAAACGTAATTTCATCTTCGTCCTGGTGCGAAATCGTATGTTGCAAGCGAAAGTGTGCACTTTCACCCTAGAATCAATAGAAAAATGGTGATATATGCGAAGAACATGCATTGTATCTGGATGTCTGTATGGCTGCTATTGAAGCACCTTTTTCTCTTAAAATAAAAACGTAACATTTGCAGGATAAAAGAATTTGTATTTTTTGCACACAACATTGCAAACGGATGTGGATGTATTGATAAAAAGCACGCTGTTGCCTGTACATAATGCCATAATTGAAAATGTTTCGTGTTCGTTTTTCTGAGTAAGTAAACATTCGAATCACAGCAGTCTCAAAGATCGCGATTTGCACGAAATGAATCGATTTTCTGATACGGATCTCGAGAATAGTTACTGTACTCTCATTCATGACTATTGAACCTATCCGCTAGTCTCCTTTGAAGAGTCCTGGAGGTCGACACTGCTACTTGATGATGAATAAGATTGTTGCATTGAAGCAGGACAGAATGTTGACACCATTCATCAGAACGCGATCTAATTCGTGATCAATCAGTTTCTAAGCATTAGTACAACGTGGCTGACAATGATAACAGTCCCTATCGAACATCTAATCATGTTTTGCGATTCCCAGACCGATACCAAGCTAAGTCCTGTCATCCTTATCTGCAACTGCTGAACGACACCCAGAAAGTTATGCATCGTGATGCAAAAATAAATACAAAAGCATTTCCCAGTGATATTCTGGTAATTATATGAACTAAGAGATAAAAGAAGTCATTAAAAGTTTAAAAAATATGTTAAGAACAAGGTAGGACGTCTTCGTGAGTGTGGTCAGTGTTGTAACTCATCACAAAATGAAGATTCTCACTCAAAACACACATGTTCATTCATATTTCAACACTCATCCATATCCACATCTGCCCTCGATCCTGGATGACGCATGATCAGTCGTACCCTAAAATCATAAAAAGAAACACTTGGGTGTGGGTGTGGTTCAAGAGAAGTCGCACAGGAATGCACACCCACCTTCGAACACATTCATCATAATACTACTTCCAAGTTCTTACCATTCTTTGAAGTTTTCCGACTAGAAAATCATGAAGCTGGATACCTGAAATATCGACCAAACATCCGCCAAGGATATGACTCATCCTACCTTGGCAGAGAAAAATCTGGAAGGACCATAAAAAAAAGAAGCCTTGGGAAACTTGACCAAAAGAGTACAAAAATGAATAACCCGACGAACTTTTATAGTTTCCTAAAAGAAACTCGCTGGAAATGGAGTGTTGATGCTCGTTGGATGCAAATCAGATCCGGCGGATTCTTACTGGGACTCCATAGAGATTCTGCTTCTGAGATCTTTGCCAAATTTAGGTGGTGCATTTCATTGGATGAATGCAAGTATCCGAAGGTCGGATCATTTAGTGGTTTTGATATCTAGATCCTCATCAAATTTGGTTGGTTGGCTAGAACTTACAGAGTTCGATAGCGGATTTATTCAACTAGACTCAGATTGTGGATGTGTGTGCATGTCAGTATGAGAATTTTATCTTCACGTTCATCTGTACCTCCACTCTCACATTCTCTTTTGACACTATTTTCTCCAAACTATTTTTGGGATTGACCAGAGGTGGAGATGAGGTTTAATGGCAACCTTGTGAGACAGAGATCAGGCCCAAAAAAGTAAGTTTCTCAGGTTGTATTGAGCATTAGTAGAGAACTATATTAAAGTTTTCGACTTCGATATGCTACTATCAACGTTGAATTGCAATTTCGTTGAAGCACACTTTTCAATCGTAATATTATTCTCATATTTTTGCAGTATCGTCTAATATGCACTATTACACACTTCAAGGTTGAGAAAAAAGAAATTCTCTTCTTATCGTAGTATTTTTTCTTTATGATAATGCGCCATTTTGTGCCTTATCTTTCTCAAATAGAGTCACTTCAGTTCACATTAAGATACCTGTCTTTGTCATCATATTTCTATTTTTTAGTGATACTTCTACTCGTGTCAACTAGAAATTTAGAGTATTTGGAAAGAACCAACAGAGTACGCAGATAACGTTGTTTACAGATACAAATTTAAATCTGTAACTCTTGCTAATTAGTGAAACATGGCAACTGGTAGAGCTAAAAAACCCTGTATTAAATGTGATAAAGGTGCAGGCATTATTATATGTGGTGGATGCGAAGAATGGTTCTGTACCAAACACTTCACAGAACATCGACAGGATCTTGGTGAAAAGATGGATCATATCGGTCAACAACATGATTTCTTCCAGAAAAAGTTAACTGAAACTAATGTTATACATCCACTTCACTCACGCATTAATGATTGGGAGAATGCATCAATTAAGAAGATTCAAGAAGTGGCAAAAAAAGCTAGAACTGATCTAGAAAAATATTTAAATAAAACGAAAACTGAATTAAGAGAATCGCTCGGCAAAATAAAGAATGAATTAGCATCAAGTCGTCAATCGGATGATTATACCGAAATTGAATTGAGAGAATGGACTGACGAGCTAAACAAACTTCAACAACTGCTTGAGAAACCATCGACCATTGATATTGTTGAAGATAACCAATCGCAGCCACTCATTCGTGTTGTTCAACAGAAAAGTATGTCAAAATTCAATGAAGTACATTCGATTGAATTGTAGAACAGAATTCAAAAGAGATATTTAGTTATGATTCGGTACGACATAGAAGTCGAGTTGATCTGAACCAAACTATTAGTTCTTTCATTATGACTGTTTTCTGGATTTCGATATAACAGACATACCTTGCAAGTTATAAAGGATCGCATTAAATGTTTCTAAATCGATAGTTTCTTATTTTGTGTATTTTCTTATGTATCTATATGAGAGAGGTCGCTCGTTCTAAATTTTGTTGTCGATAGTTTTTGATAAATGGTAAAGTCACGATCTTCCATTGTGTTTTTACGAAAATCTTCAAAAAATAGCGTGATCATAAGACATGTTTTCGGTCGATATATCACAAAAATGAGTGATTCAAATGGTTGTGCTGAAAGTCTTTGTCAGCACAACTTTTTAGAGATTTGATTGGCAAAACAAATTCCAAACTAAAACCTTGATGCGCAATATTTCTAACAGTTCGACTTGATGAGGGTGAAATACCTATTTTAGTCGATTTTCGATCATGTATCTGACTGTCGGAGCCCACTTGCTGTCTGAAATGTATTTCAACAACAAATCTGTGTATACGGTAACATTGCGACAAGAATGTCAGTTTCTTTCAACAATGCATTGTTTCAGAGCAATCTCATAGAAAGTGTAACTTGACAGCCCATTTTGAATTGAACCTCAAGAAGCGTTTTGGTCACAAAGTTCACACCGACAGCTCCAAATAGGAAAGCAGTTATAAATTTTGAGACTCATTGATGATGAGAAACTCTTTCATACTGAACACCTAGGGAATTTTTCGCGTGAAACAGACTCAAAACCGGTACCGAACTGACCGCTTTATCGATGACAAGCTCGATCCGAATGCACTTTTCAAACAGGCTTGTTGTCACCTGTTTTTGCCAGTTTTTTATTACTTGTTAGAGTACTAAAAATAGCATGTTTTCGCTTGTTTTAATAATTTTCATAATTTGAATGTTTGAGAAAAACGAATTCGAAATTTTGAGTCGGTAAATTTCCAATCGACATCGACACTTCAGCTCTCGGTTTTGATTTAATGCTTCCCATCATACAACGAGTGGCCTTGAAGCATACGGGATGTATCGACGATGGTCAAGAAAAGTTACTCACCGATTCAGAGCTTAAACTCGGTCTAAACTAATGAATTTCTATTTCAGAATGTCAAGCTTACTTTTGAACCGCTTGCCACTGACTATCAGAAATTCTTAATGGCCATCTCATGAAAATTTAAAAGGAAACTTAAGTCTTAAAAAATTAGTCTAAAGTTATGAAGTTTATTTTAAAATCAAAACTTTGTACCTTATTTACTTTTGCTACGGACAAAAGTGGCTGCCGAATGGAAAAGTACTTCAAGTAAGGTTACCAGTCTTTCTTACCTTTTTCAAAGCAACTAAAGTTAAAGCAGCATCATACCTTTCCGTACACTAAATACTGACTTTAAATAAGCAAGCATCAAACTTGTCACTTATTGCGAAGAAATCATATAATTTTGAAGGAAAATTTGCTAAAATAAAGCACGGATATATTGATTTATAGTGCTTGTTGTAAGGTATCTTATGAAAATTTTTGAATAAGTATTCCTTTGCTTCCCACTATTGGCGTTTGTGAGATGCGACAGACTAAACGAACGATGTTAGTATTAGAAATCTCAAGAGTTATATGAATTTCACTCATTTTCTTTGTGGAACTGTATTAACAAAATTTTTCTCAACAGAAGTAGTTGATTGATTGGCATATGAAAAAGACCGACTGTTCACCGACTGAATTCTACAATTGAGCCAGTCAGGTTTCCATCAATCCCAAGTCCAGCGTAGAATACGAGGTTGACATTCTCCTTACAGACTTTCTACCATAGGTAACTCACTGTGCGGTTAAGCTCATTAGTTTTGGTGGCTTCCTAATGATTCTCATCGAATTATCGTTTCTATTGAGTGAAGTTACTGATGAAAGGATACATCTCGGCAGTGAGGCTTGCGAGGAGAAACGCCTAGCATGTTGACGACTTATTTGATTTTTTTTCCTAGAGGCAATAATTTCTAATGAAATTGTAAAGTTTCAAATCCGAAGTGGCTATTCGACTTCCAGGATATCGACAGAAGTCAATTGACGTCACTGAAAATATGTGCGTTCGGATACAGAAAACACATGAAGTTATGAAAGTTTCTTACATCGTTAATACTTCCAGGATTGGGATAAGCGAGGCTCTTTTAGTTGATTAACCTACACAAAGTAACATTTTGTCAAAAGTAGATCGTTCGACATTTGTTTTGTTTGAATGAAACAGGTTTTCAAACTTTTTTAAAGATATGAAAAAATCCCAAAGAATACTGGTCAATGGAGAAAAGGATAATTTTCGATTTTTAGTAGTATTAATGATTACTGATAACTTTCATTCTAGTTTTACACCAAACTTCAAAAGTGTTTTTTTATCTAAGCACCACAAAGTGTCGCCCGCTTTGTTACTCACGAAGCAAGCATCCTATCAAAAGTAGATTTCAAAAAGATGGTAGTGACAATACCGATATATCGCAAAAAGCAGTGTCGCATTTCCGGAAAAATCCAAAATCCGAAAGCAACACTACATCTTGTACACCTGAGTGGATCACTACGAAAGATGTGCGCACCTTTAGCATTTCTGAATTCGCATTATCTTTCCATAGAAATTTTCTTCTGGATGAAAGTGTTGTACATCTCATTCAGAGATACATTCATGTGCGACAGATTAGATGTTAGTTTACAGTTTCCACATTCCCCTTTTCCGAGCATATGACATTACTTTGTATCTAAAAGTTGAAGAATAATTAACATTGACAGAATTTCGAAACTTTATCTACTATAGTGGTGTTCACACTAAGGACTTACGAGTATCAATACTAGCAGAATACTAAGTGCTATTATCATATGAGAATAGAACATCGACTTCTAGTATGATTGATGATTTCTTTGAAAAGAAAACCGAGATTCAGCAACACAGTACTAATCTATTGTCCTGTATTTCAGAAGAAATTTATCTTTCCCACTCAAGGGACAATATTACGGAAAATGAGATGCATCAATTTTTCGTTATCGAAGTAAAAATACTTTCAACACCTTTACTACGAGATTAAAGTATAAAACATGATGAAGTCGTTTTAATCATAGATGGAAACTTACACCATGTCAGTTATAATCCCTGAATGGGTCATAAGAGTAACATGTCTAGATGTGCGCCATTAGTAGTCTTTGATGAACGTCACAACATTATATCCTAACAAGTAAAGCTTGAGTTTTTCTATTTCAGAATTTCTCAGATCGAAGATATTCAATGTTTAAAGACAGATTTTGAGTTTGACATACATAGCTTTATAGAGCAAACTGAGGTATATTGGCATCTCTTGCTATATATTTCATTCATCATTATCAATTGTGTTTCACAGCAAAAACATATTAAACTTATCTTTGAATTATTTTGAATACTTTGACTTTCATTTAGAAAAACAAGAATTTGCCGAGCCTGGTGCTTACGAGCCACTGCCTCAGAATTATTCATGTCTCATGTGATCATTAATAAACACAATAACTTTGAGCGTTTACTCCTAGCAGACAAAAGTAGATGTACGGGATTTTTGTTATTAATATTCATATATTCTATAGTTTTTCACTAGTTGATTGAAACCGATCTTTCACTTGGAGGGAGGAAAATTAGTGAACAAGATACTAATGGTCGTTCTATTCAGCCACTTCTTATGTTATACTATAATTCAATGAAAAACTCTCATTTTGCTTTGAAAGCATAAGAAGAAACGAACAGAATTTTCATAAGCGTGATTCATCTGTGACACAATATTCAACACTACCAGAAACTAGAACAATTTCTTACCAATGGAGCAAGATTTTGAAATAGAAAGCTTGTGCCAATTGCGGCAAATGCCGTTGTGTTCATTCGTTTCTCCCATGATCTTGAATTTCCAAGCGAATTGTGAATCATAATATTGAAGTAAAGAGAATATAAATGAACAGAACATTGATTCAACTGATTCATTGGACACATTATCTCCTTTGCTTAGCAATTCGGTAGTTTTTCTTTGAAGTGCATGATATAGATAAATATGACCGTTGGTACTATTTAAATCATTCTTTTAATACGTGAGCATCGATGAGATGTCGAATCGAAACAACATATATAATGTAGACAAAATAAGTCCATAGAACTTACTGGCGATGATGATCCTTCATTTCATCGATAATTCTCAATAGGTTTATCTTTCTTGAATATCTGCTTTCATGTGAATAGAACAGGCGAATAAAATCATCCACAAACTTGGCAGTGGATGGTAACAATTCATTTGTAGTATGATCATTAAAGGTCTTCATTAATCGAAAGCTTTACAACAAAGCAAGTAAAATAGATAAACATAACATCAAAAATAAGAATTTTTCCTTTTTTATCTGAACTTCGATCTACTTAGTGATTCACAATCTTGATTCCAAAACGAGTGAGATTAGTGAACACGAACATGCCAACAATTATCATCAGTCATTTACTGTGTCATCTTTCGTAAAAGCCTATACTTCACGCATTTCTTTTGATGAAAGCAACTTCAATGGATAGAAAGGTTGGAAGGTTGACGATTGGATGCGTTATGTTGATTCTTCCATATTGTAACCTTCTAAGAATACATTGATGTCAAACATTTTTTTGGTCATCTGCAAAGATAATTGAACAAAACTGTTGGAAAAAATATGTTCGTATGCCACGAGATCTTTTTGGAGCGAACATAATTTAAATGTTTTATTCCAAAATGGATAACATAAGTGAACTAAATTCCAATGATGCACATTCACTAGTTATATGATTGTTGCTCAACGTAAGCAACATAAAATCTTTATTTCAAGATGAAAAAAATAAATGAGTATAGAAATGATAAGAATGATTTATTTAGCATGTGATCTTTTTTCTACTTATGAATGCATCATCTTTCATGTAAATGATGAGAAATACATGAATGAATTTCTGATTATATCACTCCTTCATTTATTACGTGTTGTTCGCTGAACAAATCGATTCACAAGCTTTGAATTAAACATCAAAATGAGATGACAACACAGATGAATAGGATCGTCGCAAGCGCTTCCAACGTTCTCATTCTTCATTGGTCATGTTATAATTAATGAACTACAATCAGTGCACCTACTGCTGTTCAAAACAGATGTAATAAGTGAATAGAATTTTCGTTAGGATTATTCATTTCTAATGCAATGATGGATTAGCTAAAAATGTTCTAATATTTGTTTCAGGTTGATTGAAATAAATGAATATGATATTGATCATAGTCATCCATCTGTCATTTGAAACATGCACTAGTGTTTGTAGCGAAAGTTCTGTCTCGAAATTCCTGTGATTGATAAACCGATGGCTGACGCAACATGTACTT